TTCGAATTAATTTATTTTACAAATGCTTTCGAATTAATTTATTTTACAACTGCTTTCGAATTAATTTACTTTACAAATGCTTTCGAATTAATTAATTTTACAAATGCTTCGTTAAATTTTAATGTGTCTCAATTTTTATCTGGTCACGGTAAATTTGCAAGTTACCTGTTTCGTTTTAATCTACGATCAAACAATTTATGTGAATGTTCAAAAAGAGTTCCTCAGGATGTGAAACATTTGATTTTCTCATGCCCTACATTTGATGGCCCTAGATTATGCTTACAGAATGATTTGAAAAATGCTCGGAGGGACTTGGCCAGTGAACTTATCTGTTTTCGTGAAGTCCAGACTGCTGTTCTCTGCTTTTGTTCTCTTTATTTATGCATGTAACCTTTAATGTTTTAGTTAACTTACTTCTGTAAACCCCGTGTTGTACATATGTGGTGCACGGGGAGTCTGTATGTTCTCAAAGGGAAAAAAATGCTTTCGAATTAATTTATTTTATAAATGCTTTCGAATTAATTTATTTTACAAATGCTTTCGAATTAATATTCCTACCGCTCGGAAAAACAGAAGGTGATCTTCAATGTTTAATGCTCTCTGTCTCCTTTTACTGCGTAGCGCAGTGCCATTAGCAACAGAAGAATAGACATCAATAGAAAAAAGATTATTAACGACAGTACAAAACAATATTCACAAGAGAACTGAACAAATATTATTAAGTTCCAACTCGTGAAATGTATGTAGTATGCTGGTGGTCTGCGATAGTAATTTTTGCATCTCTCTGCTTTAAATTAACTTAACATTTTTACTTCCTTGTGTAAAGTAATTAAAGTATTGTAATCGCGAAAACCTTCGGGTATCATATTTCAACGGAAATATCCATTTTGATTGCTCCTGAATCCGTCTGGATGATTTTTTATATGACATCTGTTGTATTGGCACAATAAAGGATAGCTTTCTCTAAAACGGATTGTAAAATGGATTCAAATTTTTTGTGATGTTTGTGTGTATGCATTTATTTTGCATAATTCAAATACGATTAGGCGTAGAACCATAGAACCTTGAAATTTTATGCATGGGACTGCTATAATATTTAGTTACTCACCTTCCTTTTTTATTGCAATCAACCGTATTAAACGTATGTATACAAGGTCTGGCTTAAATGTTTCAGGACTGGTTGAATGTTAGTTCTCTGAATAGCGCTATCTTTTTTAAACAAACGGAACTGTGTAGTAAAAACCATTTTGATTCTCGTCTGCTAATCGGATTAGTAAGAGTTAAGTTTTTTGTTTAAGAGGAGAACGTTATCGTTTTATGTTTGAATGTTATTTATGTTTACAATGGAATCGTATTTAAAACAGAGATACGGGATAATGTTTTGTTTTAAAAGTATCAAAACTGCTAGCGAAACTTATCAAATGATTCATAATGCTTACGGTGAAAAGGCCTTGTCGCATTTTAGCATGTTTTTGTGCTTTGGTGGATTTCGAGATGGTACCGATGACGTAAAATATGACAAAAGGATGGGACGTCTTCACACAAACCGAACTGGACAGAACATTGTAGCTTTCCGTGCTGCGTTAAATCAAGGTCGTCTATTAACAATTAACATGCTTGAAAAGAATTTAAACAATGATTTAAAAAAAACTATAATAAATTGGTAAGAACTTAGAAAAGGGAAATTGTTTGCACATTTTGTTCTGCATTCATTAATCAGAATCCTTTTGATGAATCATCATCAAAAGGATGTTCGAGGGGTAGCTTGTCAAGAAGTTTTTGACATGCGTAATCGTGATCCAGACTTTTTTTTTAAATCACAGGTGATGAACCATCGCGCTTTGTCTAAGATCCAGAAGCGAAGAGACAAAGTGCAGAGTGGGTTGGTCAAAACCAAAGAAAGTGTGTTTCCAAAAATCCAGGTGAAGAAAAAACATTTTTAACTCCAGGGGATTGATTAACCAGGACTTCGTTTCCTGAAGGAAAAACAGTGAATGCGGTGATTTACATGGGTGTATTTGATCCGCTATTGAAAGCATCGCACGTATGCATCCGGACTTTTATGCAAAGTTATTCGTACATTATTGCCCCCCCCCACAAAAAAATTAACTTAATTACAACCCCATCCATTCGCCTTATTTATCAACACCAGATTATGCTTTGTTTCCAGAACTGAAATTAAAGCTGAAAGGCTATCGATTCAATGATACCAACCAACGAAACTTCACAAGACTAAGACCATCCAACAAAACTTCACGAGAACTTAGACGCATTCCAACACAGCTCTTCCATAACACTATGGAAGGGCTTGCGGATCGCGCCAACTGATGAACTACTTCAAAATAATTATATATTCGAATAATTGATAATAAAAATGTTTTTTACTGCACTCAATTTTTAATGAGCTCAGTATTAAAATTTTTAATTTTTTAGCCCAACTGTGTATGTTTATAAACATTAAGCCCCTTACTCGGCTTGGTGATCTCTGTATTTTTATACTTATATGTTAGTAAATTGTGCATTTTTTCCTTTAAGAATGAGTGAATCATGCTGTTCTTATGTTCGAAAGTAAGGTTTTTATGCTTTTAGTTAGTCTGCATGCAATAGTTATACAATTATCAACAATTTAAAAATGAAAGTGGAGCTAAGCCTAATTTTGTTTGCATGTGAAACTCCAAGTAGTGTAGTGAATTAAGTCTGTTTATGCACCAACTTCAGAATATTTCTATCCAGTGCAGAGGAAATTCAATTAATTTAGTGCATCAGAAGTTATATATTTCTGACGTTTGGACGAATTACTTGTTTTAGCGTAGAAACTCTAATTGCAAAAATTGTGTTTTAACTGTCTTCAACTGTACTTGGTGTTTTAGGTTTATCTGTATTTCAGAATTCTTAAACAAGATGTTTTAAGTTTTTATGTATTTTTGCCTTTCAGCAGAGTGAGGACTGAATTGAATAAATGAGAAATATTTCTCTAATGAAGTTCGGGGAAATAAGTTTTAATGTGCAGGAAAAATGTCTATAATTTAATACGCCGTACAAGGAAATCATGTAGTGTCCACATCAGATATTTTTAGACAGAGGTTTAGTAATTTAGATAGAGTTTTTACCAACCGGCACGACCCCAGACATTACCGCTTCTCTCCATATATAAGCATGCAACCATAAAGAATGTCAAAACGGCATGTAGGGAAATAAACCCCTACGCTAATTTTAATGCAAACCTTAATTCCAACATTTAAAAATTGTATTATTATATAGCTTATTTTTTGATTCGTAAAACAATCGACGACATTGTGCAGGTGTATTTGATTGCTCTTACTGCTATACAGACTACATGAAAAGATTTCTTAAATGTAGAATAAACATTTTTAGTTCTTAAATACTTCTAAAATGATTTTTATTTAGAAGACTCTTCTTACAGTAGCAATATTTACCGCAATGGAAAGGAATGCTCGCGTTAGAATTGCAGCATTTGGAACTTTTTTTCTGGAGATTTCAATTTTGCAGTTTATTCTAAAATACAAATGACTGCCCTTCCAATTTCGTTTATCGTTTTACTTAGGAATAATGGATATAAAACTGTGAAATGCTTCTCTTTTAAATAGAAATTCTTCCTTATGAATGTCACAGTGATCATAATTTAGTTGATACTGGTAATTTTCATTCAAAACTTTCGATAAAATAAAATATATATAACGAGAGTGTGCAGCTGTTGAAATCTAGTGATAATTTCTTTAAATATTTTATTTAGAGTAAAATTATTCTTATTCTCAATTTAATTTCGTATTGCAATTCAGAATGTCGTTATTCTTCAACTACCTCAGCGATCAGGTTTGGCGCCAGAGCGCTCGCAACAGGTGCAGTCGCCCAGATGGCAGAATTTTTTTAATTTGGAGAAATATCAAGCATCAAAATTTAGAAATGGCAAAACTTTTAGAATTGCGGGAAGGTACAGGGCAGGTGACAGGTGACAGCAAGGCCGGACACCCGGACGGCATTCAAAGACTAATCGGGTATAGTCCGGAACCTGCTCCATCTAGAGCATAACATGTTTACAACATAAAATACCTAGCTTTGCATTACCTACACGACAGGAGGGCATTGCATGGCGACATAACATAGCTCGGCATAGACATAACATGGCATAGCATTCGACGTGACATAGTATAGAATATAGTCATTGCATAGCGACATAACATATTTACAACATTAAATGCACAACGTAATGTAATTTACACGACATGTGGGCATAGTATAGCGACATAACATAGTTAAGCATAGATAAGACATGGCGATATAGCATATTGAGGATACATGTTTACAACATACAATTCGCAGTGTGGCATGACCTATGCGACAGGTGGACATTGCATGATGACATATCATAGCTTAACGTAGACATAACATGGCACAGCATTGCAACATAGCATAGAATAAGGATTACATATTTACAGCATTAAATACACAACGTAACTTAGCTACATGAAAGGTGGATACAGCGTAGCGGAAGGTACAGGACAGCAGAATTTAGGATCTGCAGAGATTGCGCCGGGAGGGAAAATGTTTAGCGCTCATTCTGTCGATGATTCACACGAATAACTCAATAATATTCTACACGAAAATGCCATCCCAAAAAATGCGCCGCCCGGGGCGACCCCCCCTCCATCTTCTAATTATGCCACAGGTAAGTTCTTGTTAATCCCAGGACGGTAAATGGGGAGTCGACTATTTTGCAAAATTTCTTTCTCTTAACCGTGGTATTTAAGATGAAATAACAGTTGTTCTACAAAAGAACAAACTATTATTTCTAATGTTTGCTTTAATGTATCGGAGATAGCCTCCTTTTGTCTGTTGCTTTTTTTGCTCTATCATCTTTCTTTTTATAACCTTATGTGGTTATAGATCATAGAATAGCTATTTCTCGTTATTTATAACTTCTTTTTTCAGCCAGATGTTTATCTTTCCGATTAAGAGAATAATCTATTGTTTATTTTCAGTTATGATTGCCCCCCAAGTAATTTCTCTCTCCAGAAGATATACGACGAGGCCGCGGTCGATAGGCCTTATGAACATATCAACTGGTGAGTAGACAAGCATTTCATTTTTCTTCTTTTCCATCATATATTCTGTTATGTAATCGTTTCTTCTTTTCTCGGAAGAAAATGGTAGTACAATAAATGCCGCTTAATGTGATAACGTTTGTCCATGGCTAATTTGATAACACTAACCGAATGCTAACATTAACCGATGTGAAAACATAGCCTTCAAAATAACATTGGAATTTAACTAACTTAACATGAATATAATAGAAATACATAAATAAGTATTTTCAGAGAATTTTAATTAGGAAAACGCAAAAGTTTTTATATGAACTGTTCATAATATCTTTAAAAAATAGTTCATAACCTTTCGGGGTAATATTTGATGGATGCTATCTACTAATCTCCATATTCGAAGAGTATTCTCATTCACTGAAACAACACATCGAAATGTAAAATTTAAAATTAATCAAAAAAAGCAACCAAAATTTGGTGTAAATGTTTCCATGAAATATTTTTAAGTAGCAGCAGAATAATATTCCACATGAAGTTTTTTGTTTCTTAACCTTTAACTACTGTGACTTAAATTGTCGCATAACTACTGTGAGCGGTCTCTCAGACCGCTTCTGCTAAAAACAAAATAAGATATTGTTTTCTTTTTCTTATTTGAATAAATATTATTTAATTTCATATATTTAACTTTTTCATGAAGATATAAAGCTATTTTTATACTTAAATCAGTTCATTAAAATAAAATATATATTATGATAATAATTCCTTCGCTTACGTATCTGGATGGAAGAAGTAAACTTTTAAAATTAAACTTTTTATTTTGCATTAAATTTTCGATAAGAATGCTTTAATAAGGATATAGAAAATTAATTTTTATTTTATAAATTATAATTCGAGCTGCATTTTATACATACTTTTCTACTGCTTTGTAGACACACAGATTCTTTGCATGCTATATATTTGTAAGCTGTTTTTCTTTTTTTGCTCGGTGGACAAATATAGCACGTTCTTTTTTTTATCTAATTTATCGTCTTCAATCGCAATGTTTCCTTCATCATCATTTATTCAGAAAACTCTTCTTATTGTAAGTTTGAGTTCTTTAGGTAAAAATGATGAAGTTATCCTCCGTTTTACATGAGACTGCACCAATTAAATTGCTAATGAAACTTTTCGTTTCATTTTCGGAGCCAATGGGATAAGATTGAAATAATACGAATGCATTTGTTGCACAGATATCCAAGTTTCTGAAGAATATTGCCGTAGGTCAACGTCGGGTTCGAGCAGTTGAATAGATTGAACGAAGAATAATATTGTGACTACGAGTTCGAACACCCTTGTTGGGCTCTTGAATAGACCACTTGAATTCATTTTTTCCAATAAAAAGATCTCTTGTAGAAGGAGAACATGGATTTTCATTTTCATCGGCATATATTTCTGAAGTTGTGTCGTGGTCGCTCTCAATAATTTCATCATGGGTACTTTCATCAGAGAACTCTAAATTGGACCAATTTCGAACTATGTATTCAATTTGGTCTTAGGTAGGATATTTAGAACGTTTTCTGCACACATTAAGCCATTTCAAGAATATTTATAAAAAAGCGAAATATGTAACATCAACGAAAAGTAAACTTTATCGGCCGAAATTTGAATCGTATCTGCTGTGATAGGTCCTACAGACCGCTGAGGGAGAAAAATTTAAAAAAGTGAAAGAAGAAATAGAGCTACCCAAATGCAACTTGGTATGTGACCTTGGACAACTGATTTAGGAAGGTACTAGGAATGGCAATACCCATTAATTATTCTAAGGGGTGAAAGCATTTAATGGAAAATGTCTCGCGGTCTGAGAGACCGCTCACAGCAGTTAAAGGTTAAGAAGAGGATCCCGTGTCTTATCATCCTCAAAATCGAAAGAATTACTCACAGTCTACCCCAAACAAAGGCTGTTTGTTTGCCTAACTTTAAATGGTTGACTAAAATAGAAACACGCGGTTTGGCGACAAAATGTCTTACTTGGCAAAATTTTCCGATTGTTGGAAATATTTATGATCTATTTTTATTTCACTTTATTTTAAATATAATAATGCTTTATTTGACGACTTTACTTCAGTTTAAAAAATGTTTGGATTATGCTTTGATGTACTAAACAGAGATCCGTGTTTTCGCATACAAACAGTTGGAACTATGGCCATTCGATTACAATATCCGAATGATTACATTAAGCACTATCATACTATTGCGTGCGTATGGATTCGTAATAGGTTGAATACACACAGACCCGATTACAGATTAAAATTTATTTTTATCAAAAGAAATATTTCAGAGCAATGGAATTTCCACAGAAATAATCGTACAAGTGCTGACAGTATTGCACTGTACAATCAGTAGTTGCACTTCAAACTGTTAACAACGTTAAACACAACGCAATGCAAAGCGAATCTAAAGAGAAAACTAATCAGATATATCTCAGTTCACGCGGAACTAACAACTCGCAACAACAATAACTAAGCAACTCAGAACAGATGCTCTCTCTTCCGCCTTATATAGTTTGCAACCGGCCGCTGAGATATTTCTAGTACTTCTGCTACTCGAAATTACTGGTAATCAATATGAGGTTCGAATTACGAATGCAGCTAATGTAGAGATCAATTACATTTGTTCAATTACGATACTTATTACAGTGATACAGGGACTGGACCCAACTGTTGCCAAATGGTCGCCAAATTTAGCGACTTTTGGCAATTTCTCGCCAAATTTGGTGACAAAATAAGTTGCCAAAGCTTGTTTTTTCAGATTATCTCGCCAAATTACCTATTTACTCAAAGTTAAATGGACTTCCCTGTATTTTTTCTTTTCCGGCATAGCTTTCTGTTAATATTTGTTTCGCGTTAGATTACACAGGAAAATATTACAGTTTCACATATAACTGCACAAACATCATCTATTTACCTACAAAATTCATAACATTGTTCCCTTCTCAAGGGGATTTAACGAAGGATGTGTCCAAAGCGCGTTTCAAGTAATTGCAAGAGAAAATAAAATGGATGACGTGCTAAAACGAAAACGCAAATACAAACTGAATACACCGAATACAAATACAAATAATGGATAAAATGGTGTTAATGAAATACCCTTCAGAGAGGGAAATTATGTATATTAAAGAAAAGGGAAAATTATCTTTTTTTTTTTTTTTTTTTTTTAATTTTAATTTTCAGAACCTAGAATGAAAAGCTAATGGGAGAACTAGGCGAGGACATACGGTATTTTCTCCCCCTTATTTCGTTCCGCTCATATGATAATCCTAAAATCAAGTTAAGAACAAAGCTAAAATAATTATTGTTTATTCTTTATGTATATTCAACTAGTAATTAAAAACTGTATTTTTTAATTGTTGGCTTTATTTTAGCTGTAAACGTTTTGTTACTGAGGAAATTTGTGAACTTTAAGCTTTGAAGCAAAATTAAGATAAATTTAGCAAATCTAAGAACTTTATATTGGTAGACGAATCGGCTTCATTACATTTTTCAACGTGTTCCACGAAATTATTTTGAAATAAAATTTCATACTAGATTTAAAAAATATCGTCTACCGCACCTGAATGTTTAACTCTGATCACAAAATTTTATTTTAAATTCTAAACTGGAAAAACAAAAATAAGAAAGATCTGATAAGATAAAAACAATTTTCGTTGTTAACCGGCAACCTAAGAAATAATTTTCCTTTCTGTTTATAAATTCAATAAGCAAAATTTCAATTCATATTTATTCAAAAGCAATGCAAATATTCTTTACTGTACCTCGGACGGAAAATTAAACAATATTGACGGAAACTAGCTTGGTTCAGCAATAAATTTCTACAATATTATTTTAAGTCTTTATTAGTTACTTAACTGCATTTCTTTCAGCAAATTCTTACGCATATTTTAAATTGCGTGCAGAAATTTTGATTACCGTCCGCTCCTAAACAAAGATAAAAGAAAGACGAACTTCCATATTTAAGGAACTAAATTAACACTTTCAGTATCTGAAGTTTATGTTAGTAAAATAAACGATGGGCGATGTTTAGAGCAAATTCACCACTTTCAATTACAAGAATGTTAAATGAAGCGGGATATCGAAGAAATCTTTTTTCATATTTGATTCGATAAAAAAATGTTTACTTAGTTTAATACACTTATTATTGGAAGTACATCATTTTGATATATTGTATTCCTGCATACTCTTTAATTTTATTCCCCAAAAGTCAGGAGAGGAAAGTTAAGCGAATCATTTAATTTTCGAAGGACGCCGTTACAGTAAGAACAAAAGAAATGAAAAGTAGCCACGGATAAACTATGGCTATTTATCAAAGCGATATTTCTTCAAAAGAAACCTGCATTTCAGAAAGAATACATAGTAATATTATATTTACAGTATCTAATAAAGTAATTTCATTTCTGCTTCCCTACAACTTGAATTTTGCCCGTTCTTCTTGTTGTCTCTGCTAATCCTAAGGCCTCAAATCATCCACAGATTAGAGAAAGTGCATATGCAAGCCCACTCGGCGAAATCACAGACTGAATATCACTTTTATGTTTATTTCGCCGTGATGAGACAGTTCTTGTATTAGACTGACATAAAATTCATCATTTAGAAGGAAAAAGTTCGGTGTGACCCTTGCATGTAGTTTGCGATAGTTTTTCTTTGTTAATAAGACAAAATGTAATCATTACCGGGACAAATCGATTTTAAAATTTAAAGGAACTCCTCCTCTAAACCCTTTGAGACAAGGAAAAATTTCGGAAATAATTTTTTAAATTTCAGAAATTGACTGTAAAATTCAGGAGGGATATACGCGAGAGGGAGAAATAAGCGAGGGTCTACGGTATTTCATATATTTAAAGGCGCATAAACTTTAACTTATCGTGCATGTGTCGTCGTAGCAAATAGTCTAAGGAACATGCATGAAAATGTTAACTATAATATTAGTGAAGAAATCTCTCGGGAGAAATTCTCGACTAGATAATTCGTAAATATATGCGCACAAAGTCTGTG